GAGAGAAATAAATGAAAAAGAAATCAAAAGCACTCGAATACATAAATAACAACTTAGGGCAAAATAAAATGGTGAACGATCCCGAGATGAAAAATCTCCAACCAAACAAAGGGACCTTCAATGTAACAGAACTTGCCATATATTCACAAATCATAGTCTCAATGTCACACATCTGGCTCGGCCAAATCCCCAGCAAAATTCACTATACATCTCTTTGGAAACTGCAATCCAGTCTCCTTGCATCTCATTCTGGTTATATGGGGGCATGAACGCACATCAAGATACTCTCTCCGGAAACTACAATCCAACCTCCTTGCGTCTCATTCTGGTTATATGGGGGCATGAACGCACATCAAGATACTCAAGACTTTCACAGTAGCGGAGGTTTGAGATCAGAGATACGCTGTCGTCTCGACGTTGTGAACGTCACATGGAGAGAGACGAGGGAGGGAGGGGAGTGAGACGAGAGATGGAGGGGAGGGAGTAGTATGTGTTAAAATTAGGGTTATTAATTGGGGATTTAATATATATTACCCTAGTTTTGAATAAATAAACTTTACACCTTATTTTTGAAAATTAACTTTTTAAACACCTGATTCGTGTAATTTTCCCTTATTCAATTCAGATCTTGATCGAATTATCGGACCGAGACCCTAAATTTATCTTTCATTAATTTCATTAAATTCGGATCAAAATCAAATTCATACATCCCTAACTATGACCGGTTGAACAAGCTGGGACACGGGATTCGACTACGGGATTTTTCAGAAAGCCCAGATCAAGGCCTGGAAGGTATTCTATTTGGGCTTTTATTGACGTTCTGTAAGGAACGGAGGCAGTCATTTCCTCCCTCTCGCATCGCATTCCCTTCAGTGGTTCTCCGATTCAAACTGAAATCGTTCAGCGCAAATTGGTTTCAATCCTAGTGACGCGATAAATAGGTAAGGAAGGCTGCTCGGGCGTTCGTTAATTCGTCGGATAGGAATATAAAAAGAGAAGAGGAAGATGAAGGCCAAGAATTTCAGGAAAAGAAGTACACCCACCGCCGAAGAGGAAGATTCCGACCAAGAAAGAAGGTGCCTAGATTAATTTGATTTCATCAATAGTATATTATATTATTCATAAATGATCAGTTCTTTCTTTTAACTTATTTATCTGTTTAAGTCACTGGGGTTTTAATTTTTATACAAAAATGCTGCTAAAATGATGAATTTGATCAGATTGGCCTTG